ATGAAAAGAATTTACCAACATTCAAGCAATACACTGCTTTGGATTGTGTCATTGTTTGTTGATTGTTTATGTTTACAGCTAGCTTATGGATCCTGTGGCTCTCAGAGGTTCTCACTGACTCTCTGGTGATGGGAGAGAAACATGCAAAAATATGTGGACCCCTAGCTGGGTGCCAATGGCTCATGCCTATAATCCTAGCTACTGGGGAGGCTGAGATCAGGAGGATCACAGTTTGAAGCCAGCCGGGGAAATAGTTCAAGGCCCTATCTTGAAAATATATATGTAGCTTTAGAGGCCATAAAAATGATTAAGAACCACTACTGAAATCTGTATGGGGGAGGAGACCAGGGATCCTAGATATTCTACAGTGCATAAAGAAGTCCCTCACAACAAAGATTTGTTCTACAACCTAAGTGAATTTTCCAGGTTTCACAGGCTTTAATCACATAGCTGAACAACCTGTTCATAATGTAATGAGCCTAGAACATAAAATTGCTATAGACCATTTCTGTGAAAAGGACAATGTTCTCAATTTTTCTAAGGTATGTGTAACTAATACCATTCTAGAGCCATCAGAAGTTATCTCCTAACTCCTCAATTCTTTGAGGAGGAAGGCCTGGCCTAACTACAAATTCTTTTGAAGACAGGACTGTTATCTTAATGACCAGCATAGGACCTATTTCATACTCATTCATTAAAAAAGAATGTGTAAATAGTTACTGTCCTCAAAAAGAGCTTCAAAGGAAAAATACATACATAATCCCCAGAAGTTTTTAATTATGAGAATGAATGGTTTTCCAAGATGCAATCTCTTCCACCACATGGTAACCGATTCAAGTGTTCCATAGTCTCTGATACATCTGTGAACTAGTCTATCCTCTACGTGGTTTAAATAATCTCCATCTTGGAGCTGGATTCAAATAAGCTTTCAGCCTCATTCAGTGGTTAACATCAGATTTGCAGTCCCACAGCTGAGAACCACTAATATGAATAGCCACAATAAAACTGACAGAAAGTCTGTCAGACACCATCTTTAGCATAGTATATGTTCATTCTAAAAATGGAGACGGTGATATAAGACCAAGAAATCATACAGTTTCAGGCAACATATGAAACATAAATACAGTAAAACTTTAAATATGTATTCAACCAAACTTTTATTGCAATCTACTTTTGGCAATAAGGGAAAAGTAACCATAAGGACTCCGATCAGATTTTATTCAACAAAGCAGTTTTTCATGAATGCTTAAGGTCAGTGTATAGTCAGCTCAGCTTCCAGTATCAACTTGAGTACCTCATCATGGACATTTATGCCCAAATGACAACAGTAAGGCATTGTAAGATGCTACATTGTCTAAGATTAAACCGTATTTTACATGTTATAATTTTTAGGACAGTAAAGTATACTTATACTCTACAATAAATAAGAATTTTTGAAATGTGCTGCTTAGCCCTTGTTGAACAAAATTCAATTATTAGCTTATTCGTAGAGTACTCCAGTTAATAAAATTTTGATTGTACTTCAAGAACTCTGACTTTTCCAAAGGTAAAAATTAGTTATTATTTGTTATGACAACAATTAAGCTTAAAAGTACATTCACACTTGTCCTTAAAAGCATGTTTACATTGTATGTAGCTTTTTATGCCTGACAACATGGCTTATATGGCAGGAGTTAAATGCTGAGGACAAGTAGGGGGCAATCCTCCCATCCCCACTTCCTCCAAAAAGCCACACTTGGCTTTAGTGTAAAAGTCATATTTTATTGCCATGCTACAAAATGTACGAAGTTGGCACTGATAGGGAGAAATAAGAGAACAAATGGTGGGAAAAGATAGAGGGCAAACGATGCTGCTACATATACAAGTTTTATTTTAATTAACAGTGGTTAAGTTTTGCCAATATTAAAAATGCAAACCAAAATTTAAAATGCTGATATGAAACAGCATTAAAACACAGTTTATGCATAGTATAGTATCACTTATGTCTTTTATTAGAGAAATATGGAATGTTTATAAAAGAAATCAACCATAGGGGGTAAAATTCATATTTCATATACAATTTGGCAATGGTAGTCCCACTGTTAGACAATTTTATGCAAGAAAAATTAAAAATCTAATAAGCTACCTTTATACAAAGTTGCTATATTTATGCCTTTATGTAGGAAAAACATTTATAATGCAAATTAGGACATACAATAATCTTACAATATTATACAATGAAATGAAAATAAAAACATAACACAAAGTTTGTCCTTTATAAAATATTTTGCATTTGCTAATGCAAATGTGGCACACTGGTGACTACTGTACTATTAATACCAGTCTGTTTCCATACTATAATTGTCCAATTGTCAGAGAATTGCAACTATAATGATGCTACAAAAGAATTGTGTTATACCCCCCAAAAATGAGGAAGCAGAGATTAAAGACAGGAAAAAACATAAAGAGTGCTGGTCTGGGCAGAGTATACTGTGGTATGTCATAAAATAAAATATTTGTTCATTTTCAAGCCAAAACATTTTCTTTACATTCCATAATTTCGTACCAATGCCTTTATTCAAATTTGGCAAACTTCAAGGAAAAGGTATTGAGTACCATATACCTCACATATCAGAAATATGAGTGAGATGCCAATACATCAGTTACTTCTGAATGATGTCTCTCATGTTTATTTCAAGAATATATATATATATATATATTTATACACACATACTACACATTGCACAAAACAGTTGGGCATTTTGGATTAGAGAACAGCATAAGGGGAACTGGGAAGTACTTTTTAGCTTGCTAAAACTTTTACCTTTAGGCAAATACATTGTGGCACATTGTTGGGAAATTATGAAAACATAAGGCCCCTGTCCCATTTTTAATAGAACATTATTGAGGTACATTTTTATATGCTGTGCCACAGATTTGGGGAGGGGGAGATAAACAAACACCAGTTTGACTTATTCCTATAACATTGTACTGGGAGTCAACATTAATATCTATAAAAACAAAGCTTGCTTGGCAAATTTTCTGAAGTCCCAAATGTGATCTATTCTGAATATACTGAGAAGTGAAAAGCTTTTTGCTAAGTCTTCAAAAGTAAAGTGCATATCTCATCACTCCACAGCAGCAGTAAATAAAAGGAACTATTTGCCAATCTTCCTGGAGGGAGGGAAGGCACCATATTTTCATTTTTTTAAAGGAAGATGAAACTGAGAAATAAAACACTTAAAAAAACACAGGTAATCAGTTTCCAACCCTGGTCTGGGGTAAATGTTATGATCTACACTGATAAAAGAGGGACCTATTTGGGGTGAAACAAATGAACAAATGATATTTCCAAAATCCAAAAATGGGGTAACATGGTCTATCAACAGAACTGATTATCTAAAATTAGGTTCATCTCAGAAAATCTGAGCTATATTGGCCATACTTATGTGCCAATAAAATATCTCATTCTAAACTGTACCTGGTAATAGGCACATTCCTTCAGGACAGAGCATAATGCCCATCACTAGACTACTGCAAAGTACAAGTGGTATTCTAAATGACTTTTTATTAAGTAGGGACAAAGGCGATTTCTAGAAGACATCTAGAAATTAACACTAGTTGTGTATCTCTTCCTAATAGTTATAATACCCTAAAATCAAATTCTTATCAGAAAAATTGGTCCTGTTTTTATTTTTAAATCACATAGTATTTAAAGCAGAAACTGTACTGATTATATTAGAGTTAACTAAAATATATAAAATCTAGAATCTGCAAGAGAAGTGAAAAGGATGAGGGGAAGAAAGAATAAAGCATACAACTTCGCAAATGAAGAAATAGATCAGCCCTTTCATTTGGAGATTAATGTTCTGCTTTGACTACTTATTACCAAGAAAACCATGTGCATTGATTCCATCATAATTCTTATTCCACATTACAAAAACCATTCAGAAATTTGGCACAATTAGCAATCTACTCAGATGAAAGGATAACTGGAGCAATATATTAAAAATGGAACTCACATTTGGGAAACTGCATGTCTATATCACTGCTCTTTTTAAGAAAACAGTGAACATTTTAGAAAGCACCAAGTTCGGGGGGGAGGTGGGGAGGAAAAGCAAAATTCTGCTATGCTAATAAACCAATGGCACTGAAAATTATAAAGACACTTGTAATAATTTATTTTTAATAATGGTCCCACTCTGTTATTCTACTAATCCATTTACTGGTTCAATGACTATCTAATATATTGGACGGTGGACGACTGGGAACTTTTTCATGTTAAGTTACCATGAAAAAGATCATAATCTCAAAGTTCCTTATATTTGGAGAAAAAAGTAGGGTATTTCTGGAGGTTACCTAATCTTTTTTTTGACCTTATTTTCTCTTGTAATCTTCAGTGTTTGGGAATTTGGAACATTCTTGATTTTCCAAGAATTTGACATCTGGACTTCATCAGTTTATATAAAGTTCAGTTCATTTTAGATCCTGAATTATGACATAATCTCATTACTACAAGACTTCCACTGTACCTGCTATGCTGGCAACAATGTTAACATTCCACTGAAATCGGGATAATCAGACATGGAGCTACAAGTGAAGGACAGCAGACCCAAGGAACTAGAGTGGGCAGAGTAATGACTGCAGCCATGTCGCTGAGGAAATCCCTACTAAAGTGCTGGGGAGAGTGCCCACAGAGAAGACAGTACCTTTAGGGAACTTTGTATGTTAAAACTATCTTCCTTTTTATTTTTTCAGCTTCTAAGGAGATCACCTATGGACACAAGTGAAATTTAAAATTGAGAGAATTTTTTTTAATAACTAGAAAAGTAAACAGCATATAAATAAATACTGGACAAGGCAACCCTGTTATAGAATAACAGTAAGTTCCAAATGAACCTTCAAAACCATAATTTGACAAAAATGCAAACTTAACAATGAACATATAATCCAATTTCAAAACTATATACAAATTCAAACATTTTAAATTGAAAAAGACATCAAGCAACAAAATAAGACAACCCAAACACCAAAGAAAAAAAACTGAAGGTAAAGGGGAACCTAATGGCACAAATGCCTCCCGAAAACAACATGCTGTCAATAACCTATAGGAGAGAAACTTCAAGAGATCACGGTTTAGAGTTTTAAATGTTTTTGGGTAAAGTGACCTGAGACTGATTCCTAAGCCTACTGTAATTCTGAGTAAGATATCTGGACATGCCCTTCAAATGACATCATGAGATGAGTAAACAATCTTATCTCCTGCCTGCCTTTCAACATTTCAATAACAAACTATATTCACAACGTAGGACACTTTCTAGTAACACTGAAGGCAAAGGAGCTGACTGGTATAAAAGGAGGTGTGGTTCATCTATTTTCTTTACATGTGTTTTGGCTCAAGTCAAAAAGCCTTTATTTAATGAAATAGAGGATTCCTCATGTTACATGCTGGAGACCACATACTGTGAACAGTGAATCTACAAATACTACTTTCAAAGCCTAGAGTTATCTGTTAGCAATGCACATTACCAAGAGGCTTTAGAAAATGTCTGAAATGCCAACCATGACTTAGACATGAAAGATATGTGTAAGTACAGAATATTGAATAAAAATCAACCAGCATGTCATTCACTTCAACTCTCATTTTAAATAGGCACTGTGAAAATGGAAATGCGCTGTACAATAATGAGTAGTATATAACGAAATTAGTGTTCTTTAAGGAGTACCTGCTCTACATTAATTCCCTTTAGTCAAAGATGCACATGAAATATTCAGTCTATAAAAGGAGTTAGTGTAGAAGTGAAAATGAAGCACTTGCATCTTCATTTTTAAAAACTTCACAAAGGTGCAAACAATGTAATGCTTTCCAGGCTCACATGGGCAGATCAGTACTATTATGTCTAGTTTTCCTAGATGTACCATCGTCTCGTGGCAGTGCTTTCTGCAAATTTGACATAGCAGCAGTTCTCTCGATGTCTATCACAGCATACAGCTCTGTGCGCCTGGTAGGGGTTTGTGGAAGGGGAGTGGTAGGTGTTTTGGGAGTCTGAGGGTTGTCAGAGTCACTGCCGCCTTCCAAGTCAACTTGTATATAATTGAGCTGCCTGTGTTCTAAACTTGGGCGTCTGATATCAAAGTTAAAGACTGTCGGTGTACAGTCCCGACGCCTTGAATAGTCTATTTTGTGAGCACTTGCTGGCACTGTTACATTCTCTGTATTTACATAGTTATGCATTGGATCTAGATTATTATGGTAGCCATTTAGAGATGGGGTCTTTGGTCCTAAAGTGTCATCTTCATCCCTACTTAGTTTGCGAGCTTCCCAAACAGGAGGCAAAGATGGTAAATTTTCATAGTTTAATAACGCAGTTCTTCTCTGAGCTGAGTTGTTGATATTCTGGGTATCTGAGGTACTGGTGGATGTCAGACGACCTCTCCTGACCCCTGAGGCACTAGGGATAGATAGCCCATTTATGTTTTCATACACCAGTTTGTTAACAGAAGGTGCATCTCTTCGTTCATCACTATCATAGCCAGTGTCCCATTCTGTGTTATTTGCACCACTTCCGCTAACTTGCTCTCTCCCAAGTTGCTCCAGTTTCTCTTTTTCCATTAATTGCTTCTGAACAGGGGTAGGTCCTAAAACAAACTTGACTCCTTCAGGCTCAAGAAGAATCTGAGGATCCCTGTCTTCAATACTACTTGGTTCTTCTTTTGGTGTGTTGCTTTCAGCACTGGAAACCCTCGCCTCCAATGGGATATGAACACTTGCGCGGTTTTTCCGCTCTTCTTGCACACCTGTAGTGTTGACATAGGTATGTACCTAAAATGAAACAAAGTGAATCAGTAAGATTTAAAACATACACACACACACACACAAATGAGCCTGGCACATCAGTTAATTTTACTTTATTTTTTCCTTTATGGTTTTTTGAGACAGTGTCTCACTGTGTAGCCCAGGCTCACCTCATGATCAATCTGCCTCTACCACCCAAGGGCTAGGATTACATGCATACACCACTACTTCCAGCTTACATCAGTTAATTTTATTAACTTCCTCTTTAAGTGTACTTTACTTCAAAACTTTCATACCTATTTTTTACCCAGGGAAAGGGGAAGGAGGGGATACTAGAATGTAAAACTGTGTTCCTAATTTGATAAAAATAGTAACTACTTTAGACGAGATCAGGCGTGTTCAGGGTGGTATGGCTGTAGACAAGAATAACTACTTTAAAATGACATGCATCATTATACTTCATGATAAAATATGAAAAGCATGATCCACCTGCCTCCACCACCCAAGTGCTAGGATTACAGGCATTATGACACTACTCCCAGCTTATACCAGTTAATTTTATTAACTTTCTCTTTAAATGTACTTTACTTTAAAACTTTCACACCTATTTTTTACCCAATGAAAGGGGAGGGCGAGCACTCTGTAAAAAAAAAATAAATTCAGGAACAAAATAGGGTTTGGCATTTTGTTGTTCTAGAAATTTCCATCCATGCATTAAAACAATTCAATTCAATTTAGAAATAAGAATATAAAGAGAAAACCCCAATTTAAGAGGTCTATAAGATGTATAGATATAAAATAAATACCACCTAGTAAGAGAGTATCACCACATAGAAAAGCTCAATGATATTTTGGAGAGACAATACAAAAATGTTTGGAAGTATATAAAAATTTTAAAGACTCAAAAATGAAACGCAAAACTGGGAAAAATGTGTATGTGGCAGATAATATAAAAACACATTTATGTAAAGAACACAAAGAACTTTTCTTTAAAGACACTCAAATTTCTTATGGATAAATAATCATATGTTTTATAAAAGATAAATTTATCTAATTAATACATAAATAATGTTCAACCAGCTATTTCATTCCAGAAATGGAAGCTAGAACAGTCAGGAACACTAAACAATTCCTTAACAATATCAACAACAAAATCTACCTTTCTACTAGTACTTCACTGATTATAAGGACTCAGATATGAAAAGCAACATAAATTCTTAAATCACTTGAGGTTATTATGAGAACTGGTCACTGGGTAAGTCTTGATCTATAGATGCACCTCTCCAGTGAACCCACAAACTACCATAATCCTAAATTCTGGCACCTGAACATATTTGAGCATATGCCAATAAATATATGCAATTTTCTCAGTGAAAGTTAAAATTCAAACTGAGTAAAACCTTCAAGTATTAGCACAGTAACACTTTAACTTCACAAATCATTACTGCTGTTATGTGGCGGCACATACATACTTGTTCCTCAGCCACAAGCAGAGGATGTGTAGATTCTTCACCAACTGAAGGTAGGCGAGCACTTCCCACAGAGGGATGTCTGCTTGAAGGATGGGATGAAGCATCTCCAAAGGAGGGATATCGGGGATATCCATTGGGTAAGTTCTGAGCAGCAAAGCCTGGAGCTGAATTGTAGTTGATTGGTTTAAGAAGAAAGACAGGATATGGGAGAAGGACAGAAAAATAAGTGAGATCCTAATCTGTGCTGAGGATTAGGAAAGACATTTCTGGCAAGACATAGAGCAATTAGAACACAAACCATACCCCCTTCAATTGTTTGTTTGTTTGTTCATTCATTCATTCATTTATTTATTGCTGGGGATCAAATCCAGGCCTTTAGTATATATGATTTACTACCACTGAGTTACCCTCCCAGCCCTTAATCATATTTTAAGTACTATGGGATAGTTAATGTTTTCATTTTAAAAATGCATAAAACCATTATAATTCTATTAACCAGTGATGATTTCTTGTGTGTTATAGATTGAATATCTATTGACTATGGCTTTTAAATGTCTGATATGAGAGGGAAATGACTACTTACTTGTAGGTGTTCGAGGTGTTCTAGGGACTTCCAATTCTGTCTGATGATTATTTCTTTCTACAACTGGCTCTTCTACCACATTTATACTATTATTTTGCATAATCTCTTGCAACATGTTAAATAATTCTTCTGCACGGGCACATTTAAAGGCAAAGATTCCTACAAATATAAACCAAAAAGGGAAAATGGCAGCCATGCCATTTTGTCAAAAAACAAAATTGTCAAGTAAGTATTCTGTGTGCCAACAGTAAAAAAGGCCTTTTAAGTAAATTTCTCATAAACTAATGATACTCCCTGTTTTAAAACAAGCACAAAAGCTCACAGAATAATTCCCATTTGCTAAGGGAAACATCCCAAAATAAAACAAACAAAACTAGATTTGCACACTTACTCTAGTTTGCTTTAAACAGCAGGGGGAGCCCAACTCTCCATTAACAAGGCACTCTTTTCCATTCAATAGTCCCCTTAACTGGAGTTTTATAATCATTACCTTACTTATTGTTACAATTCTGTAAGACTGCTATTACCATTCCTCCTTTATAAAGTTCAATAGAGGATATGCATCTTGCCTTTTTTGCTAGTACATAGCAAAAAAAAATCAAACTGTTGTATTTGACTTCAGTGTTCAGGTTCTTTCCCCAAGTCAGAATGATAAAGACAGTCAACAGAACAAGACTAATAATTCACTGAAAATCTTAACAAAAGTCAAAATTTCTGCCATATACAATGTGCTTAATAAACATTTGATAAATTAATACATTGTTTTGTTTTGTTTTTGGTGGGACTGGGGTTTTAACTCAGGGCTTTGCAATAGTTCTATTGCTTGAGTCACACCTCCAGTCCATTTTGCTCTAGTTTTTTTTGAGATGAGATCTAGCGAACTATTTGCCCAGGCTGGCCTTGAACTGTGTTCCTCCCAATATTAGCCTCCCAAGTAACTGGGATTACAGGTTGAATCATCTGTGCCTGCATTATTTTATCTCTTCTTTTTTTTTAGGGAGCAGGTACATTTTATTAGGTAACATTTCTTACAAAAATCAATCTGCTGACCTAGATGTAACCTACAGGAAAGTTTAGTTTTTGTCTTACATTAACAGTAGGATGAACAATTGAGTTGAGTTGCATATTGGAATTTAATTTTCTGTGTATTGTGCTTTCTACACTTTAATAATACTAGTGATGGTGCCAAGAAGAAAAGTGAACCAAGGAACCTAAAAGTATTAATCCAAGAGAATAAGCACATAAATGATCCAGATTGTATTTTATCTTTTCTTAACAACCTGCCTACCTGGTGACTTTTCTCTCAGGAAAAAAAGTAAAGTATCAATTTTAACACTGTATATAAAATAATCAAAAGGCCAGTATTTCAAATAATAGTATTTGGAGAAAACAAAGGCTTTACCTACCTTGTCCAGTTTGACACCTTCGACCACTTTCAAAAGAAAAGAGATTTGAGTCATAGCCATAGCGTCGCAGGCAGAGGTAGTGCCATTTTACTGAGTCACGTTTGCGGGTATATAAAATCAGTTCTGTATCTGTAAGTTCCATTATGCCAGAACCTAACTCATTCCCATCATCATCCACATTAATGACCTAAAAAAAAAAAAAGATGGCAATACAAATAGATCACCAATTTGTTAGGAAAAAGTACTGTTGTTAACTGGTTCAGTTACTTGATCATCTGTTAGTTCATTCATCAGCTAATGTGTGTATAGAGCATGGACTATGGAGCAGTGGATACCCAGTTCTTATCTGTAAGGAATGTACATTCCCATTGGAGAAACAAAATATATAAACAGAAAGCCAACACCATAAACTGTATGATTAACTGACAAATGGCAGCAGGGGCTGCAGAAGGCAACAACTATGGCCTCAAGTTGCTGGAGAAACCTTCATCCGAAAGAAGAAGGAACTTTAACTGGACCTAGAGTATAATTAAATTTTTGATATGAAATCAAGTAAGAGGAAAAATCGAGTAGATTAGGAGATGCAGGACACAATATGAAGATGCAATGCTAAAACAGAACAAAGAGAACCCTTCCTTCCTCCCTCCATCCCTCCCTTTCAGGGGAATGGGGTTTGAACTCAGGGCATTATGCTTGCAAAGCAGTTGTTCTACTGCTTAAGCCATGCTTCCAGTCCATTTTGCTCTGGTTATTTTGGAGATGGGGTCGGCGGACTATTTACCCAGGATGTCCTTGAACTGCAATACTCCTGATCTCAACCTCCCAAGTAGCTAGGATTACGGGCACGAGACACCAGTGTCTGGCTTATAGTTTAAATCTCAAGTGTCCCCAAAAGGTCTAAGTGCTAAAGGCTTGGTTCCCAGCCTGAGGCACCATTTGGGCAGTAGTGGAACCTTTAAGTGGGAGGTGTAGTTGTTGGGGGTATGCCTTAGGAGGGGATAGTAGGACCCCAGCCCTTTCTTCTGGTTACTGGCAATGAGGTGAGGCATTCTGCCCCACCACACACTGCTGTCACTATGTGCTATTTTGCCTCAGTCCCAATAGGACCAATGGACCATGGATTGAAACCTCCAAAACCACGAGCCAAAATAAACCCTTTCTCAATATAGATTAGTTTTATTTCAGGTATTTGTTACAGTAACAAAAATCCAACAGGTGGTGATGAGACTGAAAAGACACTTACAAAATGACATTTTAGTACTTTTTTGGGGGGAGGGGTGGGGGTAGGGTGTGAACTCATGGGTTAATGCTTACAAAGCAGGTACTCCACCACTTGAGCCACACCTTCACAAAATGACATTTTAAATAAAGTGTTACCATAACTGCATGATTAATTAGATACAAAGGACCTAACAATCAATCAATAAGATTCCTGGTACAGTTTTATTGTTAAGTTAGGCAGTGTTGAAGAGCTGGGTCCTTTAAAAGACATGGCCTAATGGGAGCTCTTTAGGTCATTGGCAGTGTGCCTTTAGAAGGGATTAACATAGCTCTTATGGGATCCCAGTTGGCTCACAGCCACTCCTGTCTTGAAATGTGATTGATCTCTTTCTCTCCTTTATGCTCTTGCCACTGTAATGCTATCTACCATAAAATGATATAGTCAAGGGGTCCTTGCCAGAGCTAATCCTCTGCTATTTGAACTTTTAGCCTCCAAAATTTTGAGATAAATAAACCTCTTTCCTTTATGAGTAATCAGACTCCTCAGGTATTTCATTATACTAATGGAAATGGACTAATACAGTTCCATACTGTCAATAAGAAAATGCCATCATTTATTCAAATAAGAAAAGGCAAAGGAGGGGGAGTGGATAAAAAGATCTGTGATAAAAGAAAGGCAGTGAGAATATTAAGTGAAGCACAAGAAGTGCATCCAAATAGCCAATGATACACAGATCAACTGGTTTTACTGACCTTAAACTTGTTCCGATGGTTATCTGGGACAGTGTCTTTATCTGGACAGCTACAACAGCTACCCATGGCTTCTTCAGAAGACCATGTGAGCACTACATGAAAAAGAATTTGAAGAAAGTTATTAAATGTAGTATATAAAAACTGTAAAACAGAAAAAGACTACTAATCATATAAAATAAGCATAATATTTTGATGCAGAAAATTAGGCTCAACAAAGTAAATGGCTGAATTTCATACAACTAGCTAGCTGGTTGATTTTGCTCAGTGATCACAAGAATAAATTTTGTAAGGCAGACATCACAATTTAACTTTCAAAGGTCTACCTATTCTAAAATTATCTCTTGAAAAGCCAATTTACAATCTCATATATATATATAATATTTTAAAATAATTAGCTTATAGTTGTTTAATTAAGAGTTAATTATGGAATTAAGCTTTTATACTTATCAGGATTTTCATGTTCTCCTTTTTAAAAAAAATTTACCAAAAGGATGCTAGACTTCTGGCTTAGTAGGTATTTTAATTCTTTTTGCTTAATGAGGTATCTCTTATGTACCCCATGAGATAAGAGTTCATTGGTAATAACACATAACATCAAATTTAGAACAGTACATTACTAAGAGAGAAGGCCAATGCAAAACTCAGGCAGCAATGTAACACACAGAATAGTGACAGACCTGACACAGTGTTTTAATCCTCCTTTTCCTCAGGGTTACATAAGAGGTTACGTAGGTGCCAATAAGTATTTCAAGAACATCCCAAATGAACAAAGGAAAAACTCAAAGCATTATTTTGAAACAAGGGAAAGAATCAAAATGCATGTGACATTTGATACATCAGAGAGAAGGAAGCACAGGAGCTACCAAACATAACAAACTTCTATCTGATTAGAAGGCAAGGCTTGTGGAATGAGCTGCCCAAGAAAAAGTAGCAGGTTTATTTAAGTAGGCTGGGAGAGAGTTTAGCAGAGGATGCATAGCAAGACTATGCAGTTTGCTAGCTGTGCTCAGCAACAGAGGGTAAGAGGACAGGGAAATTAAAGGATGTTAGTAATGTAAGGAGTTTGACATGACAGATCATCAGGCCTGGTCAGAAAAGAAGTAAAGAATGAAGACAGCTAAAAAATAAAAGAATACGTAGGCAAAAAAAGAACAAGAGGCTTCTGGTAAAGTTAAAGAATAGCCTTAATACAAATGAACTGAAACTGCTGGAACACAGGTAGTTGTGATCCATCTTCCAACTTCTGGAGGGAGACAGTTTTAATGTGGTATTTTCACCCCCATCTCTGACTTCTCCTGAACCACAAACTCCTAGACATAGGAAAAGGCTAGATTCTAGACATTCTGCATTTATGACCATCAGGTTAATGTTTGGAGGTCACAGTCTGAGTTGTATGAGACCTAATAATTTGCACTAGTATAGACTTGATTAAAAAAAAAACAAAACTGTGAATTTATGAGCTTATAGTCCTCCTAAGCCCACAACTCAGTAAAAATACAAGTAGTCTTATATTCTTTCAGGAAAGCAACTCTCTCAAGGATGAGTACATTCAAGAGCAAAGGGTAGCTTCTGTTTGGGAAGATCAATATTATAATAAGTTTGTTGAATATTTTAAATTAGTAAACACTGTCTCTGTTTAATTAAAGTCATGTATCATTATTCTCTGGGAACGGTGGGGGGGGTGGGGGTGGTCAGTAAACCAGTAGGCAAAAAGAGTTGTGTTTAGAAAACACTATGAAATTCTCTTGTTTAAAAAATATTAATTTGTATAATTAAAAAAAAGAAATGAAAAAATAAAGTCTTTTCCAGGGGGTAGGTATCAGTGTGTGTGTGGGGGGGCATATATGAAAATAGAAGAATGAAATCTCTTGAAATTGTTCTAAGAAGGGAGAAGGGGAGAAGGAGGAGAACAATGGAGGGAGTAAATTCAACTAAGATATATTGTAAGCACATATGTAAATATCAAAATGTATCTCCCTATGCAATGATTATATGCTAATAAAATCATGAAAAAATATAAGTAGTAGCATACTTTTCTTTTCTTTTAAAGTAAATTCCAACTTACCTAGATCTGGCCATTAATATTCTTATCCTCTGCTGCTGCATCAGGAGTTTAATCATATTTCAAAATACCATGTCTTCTTTGTTTCCTGATTTAACCTGGAAGTAGTAGGAAAAAGTTGAGAATTTCCTATTTCTTTCTCTCTCCTAACTTTTTTGCCACTGGCAACTGAACCCAGGACTTCTGAGCTACACACATGGTCCTGACAATTTATCTCTTTGAGATGATAATTTTCCTTATGAGACTTCTCCTTATGAGTAGTATTAACTCAATTAAACTCAGTCTAAAAAACTGATTTGAAATTGTTTTCTATGTAAGAGTCATTATAAAATAGAATATGTACATGTTACCATTCCTTTTCAAAAGAAAAAGTAAAAGTGCTCTAAGTTCTATGATGTTTCTGGCTTCTCCACTGCAGTATGTCACTGGACAACTCACTTCTCTATACTTATGTTCTCAGCCATAAAATGAGGGGTTAGATTAAACCACCTCCAAGGTTCCATGCCAGCTCTAATGCACTATTTTAGTCAGTGGCAGACTAATTCTCCTGGTGATGTTTCCTAAACCTCACTGTCATACATCAAGAAAAGCAGACTCTCTTCAGAATTCACCCTCTGTATCTTCTATTCCACAAGACTCCCCCTCCCCCCGGCCCCAAGCCACATGAGAGAAGTCAGTCATCTGAAAGCAGATGGAGGAAAAATTTTTAAAAAGCATTCCATAGAGACACAAGATAGTGACATTACAATGATAAATTAGCCTAGAGTTTACCATGTATTTTTGGATTTATCTACTCAAGTAGGGGCACTGATAGTCACTGAATACCTATACTGCATCAGGCATTATGTTAGGGGTTACAGGAAGAGACTCATTTCAACTCATGTAATAACTAGAGTGAACAAGTAGGACTGATATCCAAAATGAGCAGTTCCGTAATCATGTACCCATACACAATTAATAATTTCAACTCTGGACTTCAAATACCTATGAATGAAATAAGCATGCCAGATGCTTGCTTACAGCCCTTGTTGGTGGCTGCTACATCTATTTAAGATGAGTCAGTTACTCTTCTATGGTATTCCCTTCTGTTCTTTGGAAGCTCAACTACATACCATGCTTTGTCCCTGGCTTATAAAACTGCCCAGGGCTAAGCTAATTCTACCATAAACCATTTCTCTTATGTGAAATATACTCTTTGTCTATCTCTTTTTTTTAAAAGCTTTAGCCAATTAACTCAGGAAAACCTTCCTTGATTTCTTCATTCCACTTACAGGCATTCTCCAACACCAATCCCAAAATGAGTTTAAGGATCAAGAGAAATTCTCAAAAGTGGTCCATCTATAACTAGAAATCAAGGAAAGTCCTAAGTTTGAAATGAAGTTAAACATAGTAAAGATAGTAAAGTACAGTATAATATAAACATAGTATAGGTGCTAACCTATAAGCTTTTGAAAATATTAAAAAGTCTCCATTTGGATCTCCAGAAAATTTTTGTTCTGACCTCTTTTTGAGCATTAGTATTTATTCAGTATTTTAATTATTTTGACCATTAGCACTGCCAAAATACTGTGGCGCTCTTGCTTTTACTCTTTTTCAGTGCAAGTATCCAGGATGTCAGATGTATCAGAGATTAAAAGATTTTTTTGTGCCCCATTTAAAAGAATACTTTAGCCAGGCACTGGTGGCTCACACCTGTGATCCTAGCTACTCAGGAGGCAAAGATCAGGAGGATCAGTTTGAAGCCAGCCTGGGCAAACAGTTTGTGAGACCCTATCTCGAAAATGCAAAACAGGGCTGACAGAGTGACTCAAGTGGTAGAGTGCTTGCCTAGCAAGTGCAAGTCCCTGAGTTCAAACCCCAGCACCACACACATACAACACAAAAATGTATTTTTATGAAAACACATTCTGAGTTCCAAACAACTGTCACATCAAAGTGCTCCTGATGTGAACATAACTAACAGACCATGTGTGTCCTGTGTTTAACTTTGGAACATGAATGACTCAGATACTATCCAGGACTTCTTAACCCCCTTTAGTTTCTCCCCACTGTTGAACGACTAAGAATCAAAAAGTAATTTGGAGGCAGTGAGAAGGAAGAGGTAATGAAACTATAGTCTTATTGCTGTAACATGGATGTTTTTCTTCTTTTTTGGCAGCACAGGGGTTTGAACTTGGGGCCTACATCTTGGGCCATTCCACCAGCCCTATTTTTGTGAAGGGTTTATCATGACAGAGTCTCTTGAACTATTTGCCCGGACTGGCTTTAAGTAGCAATTCTCCTGATCTCTGCCTCCTGAATAGCTAGGATTATAGGCATGAGCCACTGGCGCCTGGCACATGGGTGTTTTCCTATAAAATAGGTAATGTATGGCAGCATGAACTATAATGCTTACTCAAAATAATGTAATGATTCTTATGAAGAAAATCATTAAGAGGTAGAGAAATACTATCTACTACCACCCTATTTTTCTAGAGCAAATGATTTTAAACTCCTTAGTGTTTGCTGGACATAAAATCATTTGGATTAGCTCTTTAATCCAAACAACTACCCTATGAAATAAAGAATCTGAGGCTTTAAAATTTTAGAGAGTTTTCCCAAGGTCAATAGCTGATCTGAGGAAGAGTCAGACTTAAATCCTGATATGACTCTAAATCTCTAGTTTTTACTAATGCATGTAAAAACTAGAGATTTAGTACCTAGTAAGCACTCAGTAATTGTTAGCTACTGAAATAACAATAATTCATCTCAAAACAATGCTGTGTGCACAACTGTCAGTCAGCCCTTCTGTGCCTAAATTTTCTCATTTACCTTGCTTTAGCTTTACTGCAAGAACTAAATAAATTCTAGATATAAAGATATTTTAAAAAGCATATACACTTTTGAAGACAAGGCATGATGATATCAACACTCCAGTTAAAAGTCAGTCTCTTGTATCACAAAGGAGTCTTTTGCACTATAGGCACAGAAAGCCTAGAACTTAAGCACCATCCTTCTAACAAGTGTTACATGAATAAATTTAGTGTAGCTGTCCTAAACTATTCCAATATGATTCCTGCAGAGTGACAAGCAAAGAGAACACTGAACTCTATTCACAAGTGTGATTATATATTTGGTGCTTAGGAAGGTATATTTGCTCTTTCAGTTCACTAGCATGGAGGGTGAATTTGGCTTATATTATAGTAGTTCTGTTTAAATACAGTCAAGACAGAGTATCTATAGTAAGAAGCATAGAAACATAACTTTAAATTTTAGACACAGCTAACTTCCATGTTAAATTGCATTAAAATAATCAAGAGAATGAAACCTGAAAACTCATTTTTTGTGTCAGTGGTCTAGCTATATTTTTTTTAACCATAGGATAGGTTTTTTCTCTTTTATTTATACACATTATTTTTCTGTTTATTCTAAAACTAATAAGGATTTTTATTATTGGTACTATTCTGAGGAAGTTTTAAAAGCCACGGAGAGGAGATTCTCAATATGTTTATTCTAATAATCTAAACCAGAGCCATTATGTGAAAAGCAAGGTCACCTGAAATACAGTGTCTACTTTAGCTGAAATGTGAAAGTACACACATACACACAAAATTACCCAAGTACCCAAGTACTTTTGTAAAGCATCTCTCACTGAATATAGTTGTATCTACATAGATTTTTTTTTTCTTCCTTTAAGGTTTTTTTAGTCTAAAGGTAATGTGTATGGTACTGGGCTTTGAACTCAGCGCCTTACACTTGCTAGGCAGGCATTCTACCACTTGAGTCACTCCCCCCAGCCCTAATAGATAAAAATGATCTGTAAACAGTTATTGACATTGAGAAAGTAAAAAACCAAATTCATTCATTTCTCCATTCACACAATGAAGCATTCAGTAAGTGTTTTCTGAGTACCTACTCTATGTTAGGCACTCAGCTGAATGCTAGAAATAAAAATAAAAGACACATTCGTTGATTCCAAGGAGAAGGGGATGGAGAAGAAAATGAGTAACTGGCAGAGTTGCTGTCCCATGTGTGCATGCTATGAGAACATAGAAGACAGGACTGTCAAGAATAGCTTCCTGGGAAAGGTGATCCATAAAGTGACTACTGAAAGATAGAAAGGAATTGGCTAGGGAGGAGGCAGCTCAGATCAAGAAGAATGCATGCAAAAGAACACAAGGCCAAAAGAACATAGTTTACTTAAGGAGCAGGTATACTGCAGTTCTTAGAGTTACAATGTAGGGTGCACATGGGAAATATTGAGACAGGTGAAAGGTAGGCACATGGCCATTCCATGATCAAGTCTGCACTGTGGAGGGCAGTTCACATTTTCCCTTTCCATCTTAAAGACACTGCTAATGTCCTACCAAAATATCTTTTTTACAGAGGCAGAAAAGTCTAGATTACACCTAAGGATAATTTAGCTCAAAATTAGTAAGAATAAAATTAATTGTGTTTTACTATCTGCATTGGTTAAAGTCTAACCTTCAAGATACACCATCCATCTTAAAAATGATCATTCTCTGCAAGCACCTGGACTTGCAACAGCATCATAAGATGATGGTCAGGACCTCAGATTCCCTTCTCTCTTCCAGACCTACAAAAGCCAACCATCTTAACCTCATATTTCACAGTAAATATGACAAAGTCACTTTCAATTTCTCTGTTTGCATATATGTATTTAGCAAATATTGGGAAAATGTTACTAAAATGACATGCTAAAAATAACATTAAAAAGCTAAAATATAACATGATATAAAACATAACCTAATATTTAAGAGTGCTGCTGGTCACAATTCAATCTTAGAGTCTTTAATCTTGGAGAAAACTTATACCTAGAGACATTAATAATGAAATCCACACAATTAAATAAATCTCAGCACCCATAATCTCTGCCCTAAGATATGTGCAAACCCAGCAGATGAGTCACTGCATTAGCTCATCTAAAAATGTATTCAGTGCCAAGGGCAATAATCCCAACACTTTCAATCACAGGAAAAAACATCAGCAGTTTTTGGAATCTTACAGAAAATTCATAGTTTAATGCTTTACATTGCAACATAAAAAATTATGTACAGCAAAATAAAATATAATGGCTCCCAGCAACATGAAAGCAGTG